GTACAGCAGGCAGGGAATGGGGAAAGTAATCCAGGGAATTACTGAACAAGAGGGGAAGAGGCAAAAAGTATTTGCACATTTTAGGTCTGGGAGGGAATTTATCTTAGTGGTGAATTAAACCCCATTTCAACTTTAAGTCAAATAGGATAATTGATGCATGGAAAAATGGGCTGTGTGGGCTGGCCTCAATCTTTCATTGCTTGGATTTGTCCAGAGAACTTCTCTAGAACTCTCCAGAAAAAACAAGAGCCTGCTTTCTCCCTCAATATTTTTATCCAGTGAGCCCTTTTAAACATTTCCTAGCCAGCTAGGAATTCTGGAAATGGTCATCTCAGCTTATGCAAGGACAACTCACTGGGGACAGCTGACACATGCACAGTGCATGAATTTTCTCCCCTTTTTTCCTTCTCAATCATAATGTGGACCAATCATATGATCATGCTCTTGGCCTTTCACATTGAGAAATGCTGCAGCCAGACATATTCAAGGAAGTAGATTGCCTTTCTTTGCTGAGCTGGAGACAAACAGGAAACAGTTTCCAGATTTGGAGAAGAGAAGAGAAGATACTGGGATATCTGTAGCCTGCTTTGGGAAGGGAAAGGCAGAACTTTGTTCTTCAAAAGCTGGGAATCTTGGTATGACCTCCAGCCAGCGCTTACCTCAACCTTTTCCGTAAGAGAGAGAGTGGTACAAAACTTGCAAGTAATTTTTAGTGCTGTCATTCCCTGCAGCCCAAGTCTTTGCTCTACAGCTAGACTTTGCAACCTTTCTGGTCACTTGACCTTTGAGTATAAGCATGCTAAGGTGTCCCCTCCACCCCAAGTCAATGGGACCTGGACAAAGAACTGGGAGAGGCCAAGACAAACTTAACTTTCCCTTTAAATTAGCATTTAATTACATTAATATTATTACGCACATTGAATATGATTACTCCTCCCCAGGGTAGTTAGCAATTATCCTCTTCTGTCACATTAGCAATTACAAGCTGGTGGCAGTTTGGGGTGGGAACCTGAGAACCCCACTCAGATTTCTGGAGGTCACAATTAGCCCCAGGCCCCAGGTTATAGACTTCTCCTCTAAGGATACTAGAAACAGTGCAAGAGTTAATAGCCAGTGTGTTATAATGGGTAATGTCCTCCCTCTCCTCACCCCTGCTACAAGAAGATCTATATTCAGCCATGAGCTCTGTGGCCTCCCAGCATGCTAGAAAGGGCAGAGCCCCCCTGACCATGGGGACAGTGCCTCTGCTCACTACTGCAGGACAAAAAGGCAGATCCCTATTTAAGAGAACCCTCTTCCATTTTCAAGGACCCCCAGCTACTGACATGGGTGGGCCTTGGGAGAATACCTTTTTGCCACCTGCTTCAACGTCCCACCGGTTACCTGCTTTTGAAGTCCTCGACCACATCCTGGAATTTGGCCTGCTCCAGTAGCAGCTGTTCCCTCTCATTCAGCAGCAGCTGCAGCTGGCGCTTCAAGGATGCGACGTAACTTTCAAAGAAGGGCTGAAGGTTGGCCTTTTCGATAGGTCCCTGCTGCTGCAGGCAGTTCCATTTGGTTTCCAGAAGTTTATTCTGTTGCTCCAAGTGCCTTACCTGGAATGACGCAAGTGTCAAGATGCTCTTTTATTGCTTTTATTGCTTCAGATTCTTCGGACCTATTATATTACGGAGGTAAAGAAGCTACTTTTTGACTGAAAGCAGGATTACTCTTCCCGTTGTTACTGATATCCTTATTATTCTTCCGGAAAATCCAGGCATCAGTATTTCATGCCTTTGAAAATCTAGAGGACTTAATTGGGCTATAAAAGATAGAAATAAAGGGCATACATCCGAACGTTTACATTGCTGCTCTGTGCGTCAGTAATGCAAAGTCAATCCCTAAAGGTATTCTCAGGTTAGCTGAGAATGCATTGACTTAAAGGCTGCAGCAGTGAATTAGAGAATGGTAGCGTTTGAATATATCATTGAAAAAACATGGCAATTTGCAACACTCAGTGCCAGCAATGCTCATCAGTTGGTAAGTTGCACTGTTTAGAGCAGTGTTTCTCAACCTCGGCAACTTGAAGATGGGTGGACTTCAACTCCCAGAATTCCCCAGC